AAGCGCTCCGCCCACTAGTTTAGTTGGTGATTTGGACGAGCTGTGTTGCCAGCAGCGGCACAACTGGAGCAACTCGACTGGAGCATGGTTTGGCATGGTGCCACCAAACGCGTTGCGGTGAACTCGTCCATACGTCCGTCGTCTTAGCCGCTGCCTGTCCTTGAGCGAAAATTAACGGTCGAGCAATGGGGTCTCTTGCAGGTTCTCGATATTTTTCTCTGCTTTTTTGTCCTTGATTTACCATTGAACACCCACATCTTCTCTTAACCCCTCTTCAACCTATCGTAATCGCTGCTTCTGAAGATAACCTCATGTTATCAAAATGGTAGCAGACATGTCAACTAGCGCGGTAATGAAGAAGAAGCTTGAACAAGAATGGTCAAAGCTCCAAGAACTGCAACCCCATCAAGTTCATTGACTTCGGACGAGTGCAGCTTAGGGGTGGCTGTTAGGGTAAATGTGATACAGTAGAATATTAGAAACGACAAGCTCTAAGATATGACCGATTGGCGGAGTGCGCTTTCAAATTGAAATTGAGGCAACAGACAACGATACCGAAGACTTCAAAAATCACGTTTGGAAGGGAGCTGGTTTCAAGTTTGAAGCGTAACTGCATTGCATGTAGTGCGCCAGTGTACAGGGTGGCGAAAAGTATAGGACGCCATGTTTTTGTGTGTAAAAGCCAAGAAAGAGACTCGATCAGGAAACCGACTTCACACAAAGATAGAGTTAAGCTATTTGATCACTTGTGCAGAAGGTGCTTTGAATTTGACGACTCTGCTTTGAGAGAGGCCTTCTGACGTCCAACGACAAAATCAGCAGTGCGCCGCAGGTAGCCAACGGCGATGTCGTCCCACCTCTTCTGAAGCGCTAACTTCAGAGCACCCACCGAGCTGGAGAAGTCTTATGAGGTCTTGCTCTACAACATCCTCACATAGAGGAGTCCATCGGGTTAAGGGCCTGAGAGGAAGAAGGTCACAATTCCTTGCTCCAGTGGCCCGGGAAGTGAGCGCCCAGGATGGCTTTGGTCGATTTGAACGCGTATTAGGGAGCCCAGCTTCATTGAAGAGCAAACGATCATTGAGCAAAATGCTCGTAAATCCAGAACAACATACCGTACCTCATTAAAGTCTTTTGCAAGACCTTCGAGTTAATTTAACATTTGTGGAAGATGAACTCCAATGGAGCTGCACTTTTGGATGTTACCCCGTCACAAACTACCACACCTTCGGGAGAAAGTCTGTTGTAAACTAGACGTTATCTCGGAGACTTGCTCTCACTTTTTGGCAACAACTGCCTCTGACTTTGGTGGT